ATCCTTTTGGCGTAGTTTGTCGAAGGTCTTTGCCTAGTCTATGAATCATAATTTAAAATATACTATTTCTTCTATGTGCCGTGTCCCTTCAGGACATAAGCGATCATGGCTCTCCACAATTTTCTATTCTTTTTATCTCTTAATAAACTCTATATTTCTCTTATCTCTCATAAACTTTGTTCCGTCATCCATTTACTCAAACTTACTAGGAAAGTTAAGCGTTGTTTACCTTTGTCCTTATCGCCTTCAATCGGTCTTATGAGCGTCAGATTCCCAAGCCTTCTTTCCTCATTATATGTCCCAGAAATTTCAACTATCTTTTCCCGATGTATTATGCTATTGATTCATAAAATTGACTACTAGTTTAAGTCCTAAGTAATTTCTGTTTTTTAGGAACCGAATCTAATATTTCAAAAATAATGGACAAAAACGGAAATTATTTATGAATAAAGCGAACAATATTAATCTAAATTTAATTAACTTTAAAATCTACTTCAATTCTATACTTCTAATGTCTCTGCCTAAGAATTGAAATTTGATTTACTATTTATTATTCTTTTTCATTAACTGGAATTGACAGGTTAAACCAACGTCCGGTTCACACTCCTCCCCAGTTATTTGAGCAGAAATAGTGGTTTGTCACTTGTTTCCTGTTTAGAATTGGGCCTCAAGTTCCTTGTAAAAACAGTTTCATTCTCTTTCACCCCCAGTAGACAGGAAGCGAGAACGTAACACCCCCCACTCAATACCGCTGATTGAACGCCGGGACAACTTACAAGTGAGACACCTCAGGACCGAGACAACTCGGCATCAGACCCAAACCGAATAAAAGTAATTTATTAAGAATTAAAACCTTAATTCTTAAATAGTTTTAATTATTTTTGATAAAGTAAATTGGGAAGAAATATTCACTTATTAATGTTTTAAAAATATTCACTAAATTAATGATTTGAACTTAATTTACAACTCAAGTATTTGCCCCACAAGGCCAACCCACGATTTTGAAATCCAGAGTTGTCCTTTTCTACTGCTTACCAACGATGGACCGATTTCAGTCTTCTCAGCTCTTTAACAGCTAGAATTTAGAAAATAGGGTTTCATATTTTTCCTAAGCGTATTTGTGTGAAAATGAGTGCAATGAACTCGACCGGAATTTGAACACGGCGATTCCGAGCCTCTAAACATCACACCACCATATATCGCTACTGTTTTCCAGCCCTAATCATTATCCAGAATAATAATTGTATTCTATTTAAGAACACTCGGAATTTGTGAGCCGTTATATGAAAAGAAGAATTATATATACCTATCCATTACCCCACTTATTGCAATTTAAATCTAAAGGCTCGTAAAATTATTTTAAAATAGAAGAGTAGGCTATTCTAGCAAAACCAACGAATCACGATATAATATTCTGTCTACGAACTCAAGCTTAACTACATTTGAAAAGATTTTTTTTCTTTTTGTTATGAGATCCGAATTTCTATAATCAGCTGCCGACATATTATTTATTATCTCTTATCTATGAATTTTTTTTCAAATTCAGTAAATATGCGCCTCTTCCGCTTCTTTTAAAATTTATTTAAGAGCATTGAGAATTTGTAGTCGTCAATATTTATAGGAGGAGTAGAAATACAATTAAAATACTTTCAAGCCGAAACGTTGTGATAACAACAACAAAGACGAACGTATAAGCCATACTGAATCTTCCCCACAACGGTCTATGAACAGCAGCAATCAGCATTTCTGGTATAGTCATACTTGTCCATAATTTGACATTGTCTAACCTATTTTGCGTTGGCGTCCTACCCTACGTCCAATTTCAATATTGCCTTGCAATATGGTCTTGCACAGGTTGTAGTGTGTTCTAACGTGGCCAAACCACGCCATTTTTCTCCGTTTGACAGTGGCGAGAAGAAAATGTTCCTGGTGGACAAGAAAACTTTCAACCCTTTTCCGCACAAACTCATTAGTTTTATATTCCCAATAGAAGATGCCAATGAGACTTCTCATGCATTTGTTCCCAAATGCTTGGATCCTTCTCTCTGCATCTGCCAACATTGTCCACATTTCACAATTATATAGGAGAATGGAGAATATCAGTGATTTGTAAGGTCTGTACTTTGTTTGGAAGCTGATTTTCCTCCTTCATATTCTTGCCAATTTGGCCACAGTGCCGTAGCTGCGGCAATATGTGTGCAGATTCCAAAGCTGCAGGTACCATATTTAGACAAGATTCTTTAAAATTGGAAACGTTCTCCAGCGAATTCCAATTCACGGTAATGTTGACACAGGGGTGCTATTCACCATTAATTTAGATTTCTCGGAGCTGACCTCTATTCCATATGCTCCTGCTCTTTCAACAAGTTTGTTGGTCAAGTCCTGGAGCTCACTGCTACTCACTACTATGAGGTCAATGTCGTCTGCCAAACGTAGGTTACAAACGGTTCTACCACCAACAGAGATTGAAGGATCATTGTCTTTCAGGGTTTCTTTCATA